TAGCACAGCGGGTTCATTTCAGCTTCCAGCTTTAGAAAACCAAGCCCTAAAGGCAGACTCAAAAGGGTTATTAGATGTTTCTGATTCATACTCATCTGTTGTTATTCCCATGATTTCCATGGTGTGGCCACATGGTGAACCAGGATAACTTCCATGACTGCATACTCTTGAGATAAGAAATGACAGGAAAGGATTTGGCATTGGTGTTTTTAGCCACGTTAACCAGCCTGGTTCTAAAGCGCTGCCTGTGCTGCAGAGCGCTCTCAGTGTATCTGGCAGTCAGGGAATGTTCTGCAAGCTTGTCACTGCTGGCCAAAAAGACAAAGCAGTTTAATAAACTCTGAAGCCAATCTGACCTTATGTTCCTTCAAATGACCACTATCCTTGTTTCTGTCCCATAGCTAATTTCTCTGTAACAAGGACAGTTTGAAAAAGTTGGATCACTCAGTTGCGGTTGCAGACTGTCTGCTGCTGCAGTCCCTTATTTATCAGCTCTTCCCAGTAACTTACTGGCAAGTCATTTAAATAAGGCAGTTAATTATGCTGCTTCCATTAGTAAGTTGTTTCCTTGACAGCTCCCACTCACCACTTTCAGGACTATTTCGGTTCTTTATCTTTTTAAAATAATTTAGAAAGTATTTTATAACTGCCTTTCACACTAAACCAGTCTAAGAATAATTTGCCAGTTATTAAGGAGACTCAGGTAGCTACAGGGCTGCCATAAGCAGAGGCAACTTAGAGCAACTCTTGGGCATAGTAAGTCTGAAGCGCAAAGATTCCACAAGGGTCTGTTACTCCCCCAACCAATGCTTTTGGTGCCCAAGTCTTTTACTGGGATAGCTTTCTTCCAGCAGAGGATGTGAGGGATGTGAGGCTGGCCATGGGCACTGTAGCATCAGCCTTAAGTTCATGCGATGGCATGTTTCAAAACTGCAGAGTGAGGTGGAAGACCCAGGCCAGAGATGAAAAGTGGGTCTTCAGCATGGGCCATGCATGTGTCATACACAGCAGCAGTGTTATTCTCATTACATTTACAGATGAATTGGGGCCCTTTGTCCCCTGCCCTACCCTTAATTATTATGGTAACACCACACAAGTATGCGATAAAGCTAAGCAGACCCAAGGGATAAATAAGCTATGCTACTGACTTTCCTAGGCAGTACCTACAGGGACAGCAGCCCACAGGGAAGCCAAGAAACTAATTTTGGAATAGGAGGCACAAAACACATGATGGAGCTAAATAGTTCTCAAAGGCACTGACATTAAATTAATGACCTGAAAAGATGGGGCTAAAATGGTTGTGACTCACATAGCAGAACAGGAGTTGCAAATCTTTTTTGAAAAGAAAGAAACAGAATTCACCATTTGCATGACCCAGGAAACTTTAATAGCTTTGTGCTTGCTGGAGGTGATTTTTCTGTCCTGGAACAGAATAAATCCACCAGTGGAAAGACAATTAACTTTACTCTTCTAATGAAACCCATGGATTCAGAAAAGGACTTTCAATAATAGAAAGGTCACCCCATTTCTAGACTTGCAGGACAGATCTTCTTGTAAAACTCACATGGGTTTTCTTTGTATTCCAAAATACTAATGAGCTAGATTCCCTAGTCCTACCTTAGGCCAGAGTCCTTTAATTTCAG